CCTCCAGTTCCCAATCCAGACCTTCTCGAAACCAGCCAACCGGCGGTCAGCCGTTGACACTTGGCGAGATGCCCGCCATGTGGGACAACCTGAAAACCAGTACCGGGCCAGGCTCCCAACCTAAACTGGTGCCGCCTCAAAGCCTCAAGGAGCGGGCCTTTCGCAGCCAGACGTCACAACCCCAATCTCAACCGCAACTGCAACAACACAGCAAAACCTCTGCTAGCAGACAAAGCATAGACGACGCCGACACCGACGCCAACGACCAGGCTTTCTGGCAAAACGACTTCGACAACCGACTCAACGGCCTCGGCATCCGCAACGCTCCCCTTCGGTACGAGGTTCGCCGTGGGAAGACTGTGCCCCAGCCTGGGTCCGGTCAACAACGTCAACTGTAAGTGCGCTCCAGTGATGTCGTGTCTTGGCTGGCGCAGCACCGCCATCAATGCAAGCAAGCCCGAGTCGAGGCGGGTGGGATCCGGATGCTGGCGCAGCACATCGACTGCCGCTTATGGCGCAACGCAGCCTGTCTTCACCTAACCCAGAGTGGCCTTGACAGTTGTGTGTGCAGTCGTGAAGTTCGTACACGCCGCACACGCCGCCCACGCCTTCAGCTGGATTCCATAGTGTCGAAGTGCCAGGGTACACTGATCCTTCGTGCTTCCTGCTTCCTCCTCCTCCACCTCCATCCTTCTTTATCCTTTCCGCCAGATACCCACGTGCCGTCTTCCTCTTTCCTCGACATCCCGCGCACGTTGTCGAACTTAAGAACGGATCACCACGAGGAACGCACCTGGCTGACTCTTCTTCCCCGTGACCGCAGCTCCCCTCCCCTCGACTCCGACGACACGGAAGCTCCTCCCGCTCATCATCCTCCGCCTCGAAACCCACGACGACTCAACCCTCACGACTGGCGCCCGACTTCCTCGCTCTACGGCGAAAACGAAGCTAAGGACCATCACCACCCGCCCTCTGCTGCGCCTTCCAAGTCCAAGACACCTGCCAGAGACATGTACGGCCGTCCCACGGCCAGCGACATCTCCCCTCCCAGCTCGCCTGACATCAATGCGACACAACATGAGTGAGTCTACTTTTTGGTCCTCAACCACTTGACTCCTTTTTTTTTTTTACTATTGCCCTTCCCCGTCGCTCTGGCCTATGATTTTTTTGACTGTCCCCTCTTACTTTGAGCCTCGGACATAGCAATACTGCTTCTGCAACTCCTTCACTTCTGTCTTCTCGTTACCTCCCTCACCAGCGGCCACGATCTTCATATAAGAATGAAGTGGTTGAAATTCCGAACCTCATGGCTGATTCAGTGTTTCGCGTACAGAGCATATCCCGATGATGTTTCGCCCATTGACGAAGGCCCCGACCAGTCGCAGCAGGAGCTTCTCTACGGCATCCGAAACACTTCCCTACAGGAGCCCCGGAGCCAAATTCCGACAATGCGTCGTGAGAGAAGGGCTGAGCAGGACAAGCCTGCTGGAAAGTTGAAGCAAACGAGCTCAAAGGATGTACTACGAGATCAACAAAGCGATGCGGTTCAACATCCTTGGGAAGCAGTGCCAGGTCAAATCGAAGGACCCCACGGAGGTCGTGCAGGTTTCGGCCTTACTACTACCGTCACCGGACCTCAGGCTCCCCGATCTGGCAACACTGCGCCAACTTTTGGGCAGCGTATGCGACAGCTTACCAGAGGAAAGCCGGATCCTGTCGAGAATCGGCCTCCGTGGAATGGAGCCAGTGGCCGCGCGCCGTTGGTTGATCCTGTCCGGGACGACTTGAGTGTCGCACCGCTCGGCCTCGCACGTGGGAGTAGCAAGCGTGGTAGGCGGGCTGGCGGTGTCTCTCCAGAAACGTCCAATATCGCTGCCTCGACTGTCCGACGATTACTACCCTCCAGGTCCAACCAGAAGCTTAAGGAGGCTTCCAAAACACCATCTCCAGAACCTAGCTCGCACGGGGCATCCCACGCATATCCCAGTCCTCCTTACAACGACTCTCCAATTTCGCAGTCTCACCCCCCTGCTCCAACCAGTCGTCAGGCCGCTGCGCCCCGTCTTGCTCCCAACCTACCCGATCCAAACAAGGCCATCAAGAGAAAGCCGTCGCCCTCAGCTCATATTCAATCTCACAACCCCCACAGCTCGATTTCGAGTTCCGTCTATACAGCCTACACTGACCAAAGCGTGGCGACATATGTCCCTCGCCTGGCCACGGCAGCGCCGACGAGTCCCTTCTCAGCTGAGGACCCGTGGGTACCTCCCCCTTCGCGTTTCAGCGTCACGACTTGCAACACAGCGGCTCCCGACTCCCCTCGTCACTCGGCCGAGGAAGAACGTCCTCCGATGCCCACTCCGCCGAAGCAGCTTCAGTCAGTGATGGACCGTAGGAGGCCAGTCCCTGGAGGCGACAGCGCGAATACACCTACCGACGAGCCGATTGTCGTCTCAATCAAATCCACGCTTTCGTCGAATAAGCCAGGAAACGATGCGGTCAGTAAGGATCGCCCGATCTCCATCGTATCGACCACCAAGGCACTCCCCCCAGCACCCCCAGAGGTGCAGTCCGCAGGCGATCGCGTCGCATATCTTAACGCCCGACTCGATAGTTTAGCCCACCGACGGAGTAACATCAATAAAGGCATCAAACAAATGACGGAGCTGATGCCAACCGATAACTTAATGTCAAGCGCGGAAGTCTTGCGCAAACGGGAGACTGAAAAACAAAAGGTGGAAGATCTCAAAGAGGAACTGTCGGAGATCCAGAGAGAAGAATACGACTTGGGTTTGAAGCTCTACCGAGCGAACAAGCGCCTGGAGAGAGAGTCGAACTTTGAGAGCTCGGCACTATGGGTTAGAAGAGCTACAGGTTGAATTGAGGTTGGCTGGCTGTGTTGAAAACTGTATGGCCGGTTAGATGGAAAGTCAGGGTCAAGTCCCCGGAGTACTACAAGCAAGGTGTTGCGGTTTGTCGTGCATATCAGACGGTGTCTACTCAGTTACTCTTTTGTGTTTTGTTAGCGTCATATTCGCGCTGCTGGTCTGGCGATGATACCTAGAGGTTTAATGTTAACACGAGGCGGTTGAGAATCAAGATACGGTGTCTTATATAACTGGCATTGCTATATGCGTGTCTAGGTCAGAGGTCTACTTGGCTTCTTCGTGACCTTCTATTCTCACATCCTACAACCCTTCAGTTTTGCCTATCGGTCAGTCATCACGAAACCGCACATGTGTTGTAGACTTCCCAGCTTGCGTCTTCGATTGACTCGTTGGTTCGGAGCCCTGGGGCGGCGACCCGCCGCATCGGCCCTCCCAGCACTTCTGGCAATAATCGCCGTCGTCCCCGGGACGGAGAGGCCTGTGGCAGCGGCAGTCATCTTGCAGGCTATGCTTGCAGAAGACGTGGACTCCGGTTCGGGGCGGCTGGCGCGGGATGCGGGGCTCCGCATGTGGGGCATTTCCAGCCGGGTTCGGGGTTCGGGGCGAGTTTGCGGGGGACCCGGAGGGGTGGACCTGGGAATGGAAGAGGCTTCGCGTGCCAGGGGGTACTCGCTTTCGCAGCGGGCTCTGCGTGCTCTCTTGCGGAGGCGACGGCGACGGCGGTGGTGGAACATGGAGAGCACGCAGGGATGAATATGCCGCGGTGCGAGTCAACGGTGGGACGTCGTGTTCCTTGCCCGAGGACTCTTTTCCTACGGCAGATCCGGGCCTGGAGAAGTCGGGGAACTGGATGAATCCCTCGACGCTGACGTTGGTCTTGGAGACCTGGTAGATGTTGGTCTTCAGAGACGGCTTGTCGCGGCGGAGGTCCGCTCTTCCCTCAGGGCTTGCCATGTTGAAGTCACGATTGGGACTCTTTTTACCTATGTAGATAGGGTTAGTCTCGCAGTGCGTTCTCTTGCTCACCTACCTTGTTCGGCACGTCTTGGTATTGCTCAGTCGTAGAATAAGACACCGGCGATGGTAGCTGGAGCTTAATCTGGGCTGGTGTAGCTTCTTGGTGAAGTTCTCGTTTCTGCAATCAAAACTGACTGATAAGGGTGCAAGTATTTATACTCGTGACTGAGGTGGTAATATTTTGGTGTTATGAACAAGAGGGGTCTGAGCTGTCGTTAGCAAGGCAGTGTTCAGGCGAATAGTGAGTGTGCGACGATGTTCTGCAGTGACCGAGTCCCTTTCAACGCATATTAGCGTGGAAGCTAAACTTACGTGCTTCATGTCATTGTTCACCTGGAAACACAACATGGCATAGCACTTGAGTTACAGTAGTTTCCTGTGATTGGGATTCAGCTTCACCCCTTTCAATACTCATCTGCTATCTTTCATGACAACTCTGCTTTTCAAATCGGCTACCCTATACCAATCTACAAGGAACCAATGGCTATCATTTCTTTCAGTCAAGCAACTCATCCTCATTAGCCATTATAGTGAAGGCTACCTTTTGAAATTATGTGAACACCAGAGATGCTAAACCCCTTGCGATTGTCACATCCTGTTCAAGGGTCAAGGGTTGTTGACTGATGTATTGACGCTACTCCAGTGGCTTTCAAAGTACGGCCCTTCGACTTACCAAGGCTACAGCACCAAAGAAAGTAATTCAACATGTCGTGCGAATCCCACAAAACAATCACTCGAATGAAACCCGGTGACTGAATCTCAGAGACTTCTCAGCGCCACGGCGTGCCACCAAAGCGCGAGATGAATCACGTGGGCGCCTTGACAGATACTGTAGTTACGGAGTACGGATCCAGACCCACACACAGTCCCCTAACTAAGCAAACATGACTGAACAACAACCGGCAGATGTAGCAGTGTTCAAGAAGGGGATTTTGATTTGAGACACGGGGCTTGAGATGTTATGTGTGAGTAAAATAATCAAGGCTGTCTGTGCACCGGCGCTCTGGTTCCCCATTTAGGCGGTTTTGTAGGATGCCGAGTAAATAAATGTCCTTTCCAAGGGCAAAAATGAAATCACACAAGAGGGTGCTTTGAAGGTCACGGTGGGGCTCGAACCCACGATCTCCTGATTCGTAGTCAGACGCCTTGCTAGATTGATTGTTAGGTATTGAAATGTTTGTTGGAGGACGGAGAAATGCATACCCATTGGGCCACGCGACCGGTGGTGTTTGATGCTGAAGTTGCCGCAACTTGTAGTCTAAGTTGTGAGACACAGACATGTACGAGAACGAGCAAAAAGATAGGTCACGGTGGGGCTCGAACCCACGATCTCCTGATTCGTAGTCAGACGCCTTGCTGAATCGAGTGTTAGTTACTTAGAGACAGTCCAGTATTTGAGAAGGATGCTTACCCATTGGGCCACGCGACCGGTGCTGTTGCGATGTGTAAATTGCTCGATTTTGGGGTCTATATTGTGGGCATGGTTTTGCTCGCCCGAGTGTGATGAGGTGGGGATTGTGCGTGGTGGGCTTGCAGCTCGGGATCCACGCGGCTCTCACGTGGGTCGGCTCCACTGAAGCGGGGTAGTTGGCGCGGGAGTGGGGGGTATCTAACATGACATTTCCAGAAGCATTATCCAGTTTTGTTTATTTGTTTGTTTGTTGGCAATATGTTTTTCTGACATATTCACAATGCAAGATCTAATTAGTTCTTTCGCTCCTTGTTCAACCACCGAAGCAGCGCGCGATGGAAGCGATCCGGGTGGGAGATCTGGGGCGCGTGTCCGAGGTCGGGGAACCTGAAGAGATGCCCGTTGGGGATCTGGGAGGCGACTTGTCGACCCAAGATGTCGAACTGGCCAAGCTTCGCAGCAACTTCGGGCGACGACCAGGTAGATCCAATAGCCGTGGTGTCCTGCTCGCCTACCATGACCAGGGTTCGAGCCTTGATGTCCTTGAAGTAGTGCGCGATGGGCTGGGTGAGGACCAAGTCGACGATCTGCGCCTGGATCTTGACGTAGTTCTCGCCCTGCGAACCGTAGTAGATGTTGACGAGCATGTTGACCCAGGTATCGTACTCGTCCTTCCATTTACCAACGTAGTATGCCGCCTTCTCGTAGCCCTTGATCGAGGCAAAGCTCGAGGCCGACTCGGTCGCCCACGTCTCATCGATGCTGATGTACGGTACGCCCTTCTGCACGTAGTCCTCCCATCCGACGGCGTTGATCATGACGAGATCGTCCACAGCCTCGGGGTATTGCAGCGAGAAGCGCGTCGACAGCATGCCGCCCATGGAGTGGCCGATGACGGTGACCTTGTCGATGTCGAGGGCGTCCAGCAGCCCGCGAGTGTTCCAGGCAAACTGGTGGAGGCTGAACTGGTAGTCCGCCGGCTTGGAGCTCTTGCAGAAGCCGATCTGATCTGGCACGACGACGCGCCATCCCTTGGCCCTCAGCACCTTGATGGTGCCCTCCCAGGTCGCGCCGCAGAAGTTCTTGCCGTGGAACAGGATAGCCGTCCTGCCGTTGGGCTTGGTCCTGGGCTTGGGCTTCACGTCCATAAAGGCCATCTCGAGGTCCTCAAGCTGGCTCTTGAACTTGAAGAGCTTCACGGGGAACGGGTATGTGAAGTTGGAGCCATTGAGGTCCTGGGCGAGGTCACCTTCGTAGATGGTTCCGTTGGCCTGAGCCGCGACGAGGCCGGCTGAGAGGAAGCCGACCGAGAGGAGGGAGATGAGAGAGAACTTCATCTTGGAGATGGCTCAAGGCGATTGACAAGATAGTGCCCAGCGTTGCAACAACAAGGAAGAGAGGAGGAGGAAGAGGGTGGGCGGAGAGAGGGTATGAGTGGACGGCTCAGGATGGAGGCATCGAGGGCGCACCGAGTACAGTATATACATACTGGCATAATATTTTGAAGCCGGACGCTTAAGAGTGCAGTCGAACAGTTCAATCCAAATGCTCCTGTAGAGATGACCTGCTTGTGACCCCATGCGTTCCCCTCCATTCCCGCGCGCACGAATGTAGCGGTGGCCCGGACCGGGGGACAACTCCGCGAGCTTCCGGAAGCGTGTCTAGCTCAGGTCGCGAGGTCGTCATGGTGATTGAAAAAGATCCCAATGGCCTGGGTAAAGCTGTGCGCGTAGTACATAGTGGGTGCAGCCGGCCGATTTTGGACGAGCAGCATGGATGTGAGTGTTGATCGGGAGCCTTCGTTCTTTCACCAAAGTCGTGTCCGCTTTCTCCCCGGGCGTTGGCCCGAGATTCCCTCCGGGTCGACCGAGAATGGCACCCGAGACGGAGAGACCCGCCGCTTTTGACTTCCCGGCATCCCTTGGGAATTTGCTCCGGAGACGAAAAAGACTGTGGATTATTTGCCTCTTGTTTCTTGAGCTGTTTTTGTCTCTCCTTCACACCCACTCACACACATAATCTCTCGCTCATGAATCCTTCTCGCCCACCTGCATTCAGGTGTCAGGGGGCTCCCCTGGCTTACCTCCTTCTGGTGTGGCCACTCCCCAGCCGGATCTAGAAGCTCGGCCGAGAGCTCTCCGGTTCTGTTCCCGATCTGATGTGAGCAGCCTTGGAGACCAACGCCCCGCGGTCTTGTATGTTTGCTTCTTTACCATTTTTACCGTACGATGTCCATGAATGAGCACCTGTCTTTCGATCTAGTCTTTAATTAGCTCTAGGATGCAAAATATGAAACGTTGTCCTTGGTAGCTTGGCCCATACGTCACCGATGTTATCAATCATATGCCCCGGCTCGGTCTCTAACATTTAGGGCAAAAGGCATCCTTGTCGTGAGTTCCCTGTGGAGATTGTTGGTCGTGGGGGAAAACAACCGTGCCCCGTTACATCCGGGCGTCGCGGGGTGGTTGTACTTGACAGCGTTGCAATGGCCTCTCGATTTCGTCGTCTTGTTCCATTTTCGACGTCCTCCAGGTATCTCAGGTGCAAAGGTTCGACTGGTCGTCGTCTTTCCCCGATGATACAGAACCGTGTGACGATGTTTGCTTCTCCGTTGACCCGAGGCAAAACACAGGCCACGGAATCCTTTTTGCTTCCGCTGACGAGTGACACAAAGAAAAAAGCAAAGCTCAAGGGTTGCACATCAAAGTGAGCTGTCACTCGCACACAAATGAAATACTGCACAAGTCTAGGTTCTACACCTTCTGACACATGTCCGATCGGGCTGCCTTAGAAGGCAGGTCGGACAGGGCGAAGGCTTGGCCGAAGGGAGATAACCGTCCATCTCGTTCACTGCTCTCCTTTTATATCGTTGATGAAGTTATGCCGCCGACTTGAGAAGATCCAGCACTGAATGTTAGGGCTAGCTGGAACTTATCTTTTCATGTCTTTGCCCCTGACACCTCCGTGCTCGTAGTGGATCGAAAACTGCATGATGCATTCTGACCAAGGGAATAATAAGCAAGCATTCAACGATTGCCTGCCACATGTCAAACTTGCTGTCAAGTACCGAAGCCGCCTCGACAAGGGCTCCTTTCCATACCACACCTGCTCGTTCGGGAACGGTCTCTCGAGTCCAACTCTTGGCCCGCGAGTCCAATCGAGCTTCGACATCCGGGAAAGGATGCAGGGTTGGTAGTGGCTGTACGGTCCGTATCCGTAGATGTACCTGCAGAAGCAAAGACAGACTCTTGTCAACTCTGCCGATGCGGTGCATATGCCCCACGAATGCCACGGCCGCTTTGTGAGACAAGAGGGAGGTCCCGTTGGGTTCTGCTGGAGCGATATATGAAGGTCCATGTTCTACCCCCCGGGTCCCCTTGATGGCACGGCCCGGGCGGTGCTGTTCTGCGCGACGACATCTTCCCCACGGTTTTGTTTATTGCCCGCTATGGTCTCTGGAAACACGCCTGGTGAGAGCAATGCGTGGATGGTGCGCATTCCCTGCACTGTCTTCTTTGTCTTGACGCCCATCTTCCTCGGTCTTCGGATATGGAGTCGGATAGCACGGCGGACGGGGATGGGATGGGATGACTGGACTATTGTCATGTCTTTTGTAAGTGCTCCCTGAAACCCTTTGTATTCAGCTTCGTCAATTTGATCGAATTAACCTAACATGTCAAGATCTGTACTCTAGTGGTGCAGATTCTAATGATGATCTCCTGCAACTACGGGTTTGGCCAGCATGTCAAGAACCTGACCACCGAGAACAAGCTAATGGCCCTCAAGGTACGACACGGAGCTCTTCTAGTTGCTACTCCATCAAAGTCTCTTCGCCCATCTGTCAACAAAGCCACTTCCTGACTCGTCTTCCAGCTCTTCTACGTCGCCCAGATCTTCTACAAGTTCACCATCAACCTCACCAAACTCTCCATCCTGCTCCTCTACCTCCGCATCTTCCTCCAACGATGGTTTCGAATCTGCAATTATATCCTCATGGGTATCATTGCGTCATACACGATCGCAACTGTGTGCTCGTCCATCTGGCAGTGCAGCCCTATTGAGGGTGCCTGGAATAAATCGATCGATCCGAAATGTATCAGCTTGACGAAGAACTGGTATGCCAACGCGGGCTTCTCAATTGCGACAGATGTCTTGATCTTGTTGCTGCCTATGCAGCCTCTCTGGACCAGCAATTTGCCAGTGGCGCAGAAGAGGGCTCTCATGTTTGTGTTTGCGCTTGGCGGGTTGTAAGTAACCATGTCGCCTTCATCCAGCAGTGTCTTTCGGGACTGACTTAGTACTATTCAGTGTTACAGTCACTTCCATTATGCGTTCGACGACCCTGAACTTCTCGACGACCAGCCCCGACACGACATGTACAATACCCCCATCTACTCATTACCGCCCTTCGGATCAAACTAACTCTTGCGGCAGATGATATCACCTCTACGCTGTGGACCATGATCGAAGAAAACGTCGCCATCATCTGCGCCTGTCTTCCGATGTGCCGCATGCCCCTCGCGTTTCTCTTCCCTGCCGTTTTCGCCTCAAAGGCTGCGAGTTCATACGACTACGGACCCTCGGAGCGTTCGCGAGACCAACCCAATAGCTGGAAACCGTACACGGGCCGACGAAAAGTAGAAGGCTTTTCTCAGAGCATGGCCGTACACGCCACAGACGCAGCAAGCGAGGAGTATATCCTGGATCCCGTGTATAGTAACGGGCAGCTGATTGCCTCAACGGACTCGACGACGATTCGAAAGACGACTGAATATGGAGTTACGTATGAAGACCCAGAAAACAAGGGCTGATACTGTTTGGCGAAGGTTTTTTTTTTTTAACAAGGTTGTAATGTTTGGAGGTTAATCTTGCGGCGCAATGGAAACGATACCAAGAAGCATGATTCAGGAATTGATGGTCGGCATTGGGGATTAAATGGGATCTAACATGAAACGAATGATAGCGATTGGGGTTCTTAGGCTCGATGATGTTTAAGACTAGTTCACGATTTGAGTAGT